AGGGCTTGAAATAACATATTTAGCCAGCTCTACAGCCTTAGTTTCCCCACTGCTTTCCATTGTGGGGCCTAGGGATGAGGAATTGGGAGAGGAGGGTGGGGAGTAAGTGCTGGTTTGGGGAAGGTAGAAGGCAAGGCTAAGGCCAGAGGGGAAAGGGTGGGGAAGAAAGCAGGGGAAAGAGGGAAGGACACTCAGGATGGGTCTGGATACACGCCCCTGAACTCTGCTCCTCCTTCCACCCTTCTCAGTGAGGGCTAGGGCTGAGGGAAGGAGGGAGAAAGGGTGTTGTTCCCTGAAGACCCAGAGCCCTGGAGTCAGCACCCAACCACCCTACCTCACCTCCCTGACTCACCTTCAGGTCCTTATCCTGCAAGTACATGCACAACTGTGTGGAATAGGTAGGTAGATCCATCCCAGGTAGACATTTCATCCTCCCCACCCACCCCCAATTCCCACCCGAGTAGCAGTAGTGAAACAGTCTCTTTTAAAGTTTGCACTTTACCTCCCATAGTGGAAGGCCTTCCTCTTGCTCTTGGATTGAATCATGTTCCGCTGTTCTGAAAGATCTCCCTTTTCCTCAGATATACTTTACCAATTCGCAATTAAATCAATAGCAAAGCAAAATAGCCAATAGCAAAAAAAAAAAACCCCAAAAACCACTGAAGGGTCAGATTTGGGTTCTAGTGTTAGCTCTGCCAAATGACTTACTTTGTAAGGGAAAGTCTGGCCCCACTCCCAACCTCAATAAACTCCATCCCTGTAGTCTCCCTGTAGTCAGGATCAAACACAAAATACCTGGTTTGGTATTCAAAGACCTTCATAACCTCTTACCTTTCTATATAAGACCCCCCACTTGGTTCTTTGATTCAGTGACCCTGGCCTCCTGGCTGTTCTAAGAACAAGACACTCCTCTCAAGCCTTAGGCATTTTCTCTGGGTGTTCCTGGAATACTCTCCCTCATTTCTGTCTAGTCTTCCCTGGTTTCCTTTAAGTGCCAACTAAAATTCTGTCTTTTATAGGAAGCCTTTCTCAACCCCTCTGAACTCTAGTGTATTTCTTCTTTAAATATTCATTTATCCTGTACATAACTTGTGTGTACATAATTGCTTGCTTTTTGTCTCCCCCATTAGATCATGAGTTTGAGGGCAGGAAATGTCTTTTGCCTCTTCTTGCCAGCACTTAGCAAAGTGCCTGGCACATAATAGGTGCTTAATAAATGTTTATTGATCAACTGACTGACCCCAGGAAAGTCACTTAAAGGCTCCAAAAATTTTGATGGTCTTGCAAGAGACCTAGGGTCAAATGAGTCCCACAATAATAAAACTGTGGAATTGCCTTCAAAGAACTCATTGAGATGTCAGGTTGTGTTTTGGAGGATACATCATGCAGAAGAGAAGCATGGCCTTGGAGAAGCTGAGGTCCCAAGGAAATGTGCCTCCCAGCAACTTCCTGTTGGCTAAAAAAGTCTACAATGTTTGAGATTAAAATGCAATCCTCCTTTCTGGTTCACAAATCCACAGGAACTGATGATTTGATTATCATCCCTGGTGTTCTCAGGCTGAAAAGCTTCAAGGATATGGGCAGTGTTAGATCTGTGGCCTGTGTTTGGGACTATGAGGATTTGGGAGTCTCTCATCTATACAATTTTAGGGAAAAGGCACTGTGGTAACACATCTGAAAAAGAAAAGGTACATAACCTGCTACCATTAGCTTAACCTAGGTGAAATGGCATCTTTACTAAACTCCCCTTTGGAAGGAATGGTGGGATTTGTATATTCTCACCTAGGAAACAGATCACATTAAACATGGTAGACTGTCACGAAAGCATTCAGATTTGTATGCGGGGCTAAAATTTGAACGTTCTCAACAATTCTATCATAGAAACCTGTCCAAGGACTAACATTATGTTTTGACTGTCCTCAATTTCCACTCTCCCAATCCATCTCCCCCGATCAAGATGTTATCCATTAGAAACAGGAAAATAGCAGTGCTTATGATGTTGCCAAAAAATAATTGAGCACTCCATGAAAATATGGTTTCTAACGTAACAAATAAAAACACACAAGGTCAAGTTGTTTCTGCAGAAGATCATGTTCCATGTTACTTGCAGACAAAAGCTCACAAGTTTCTTTATATGCTTTGTGGAGTGTAGGCATAATGAAAGCTTGGATTGGCAAAATATGGAAGGGTTCTGGTTCTGCTGAATCACTGGAACTGTCACACGGAAAGCTGACCTGCCAGTGAGGCTGACTTATAGATTTCAGATAGAAGCAGTTGATTCACTGGAAAAGACCTGGAATGTTGGGACAAGACCTAAAAAAAGAGAAACTACAAGTTATTGGTTACAGGCTGATGTAAGTAAATATTAAAAAGAATAAAAGATTTATTCCTATCCAGATAAACCTTCATTTATCCCAGAATCTGAACTGTGAAAACAAAGCCCACTTATCTTCCACATAGCAATCATCAAAAGGAAAAATTAGAGGCAGCCAACAGAAAGCAGGGTAGAGACTTGATAAGGGTCAATAACCACACTCAAGGCAATGGAAGAGGTCTCATGCTAAGACTAAGCTGTCTCTATCTATCACTTGTCCAAAACCTTAGGCCATTTCCTTCTCAAGCCAAAGGTGATTACTCATAGCAGAGGAAGTTGGCCAACTTCCTATAGGAAAAAGCAGTCCTGTCTAAAAGGGAAAAAAAGCATCCTAAGTAGCACTTGAGAATTGGACCCACTCCAAAGCACCATCCAATTACCAAGGATCTGATCTGCTGCTTCCCAAGTCATGAGATAGGTCTACCTGGTGAATGATTCCAGTTTAACACCTGAACAGCATAGTGCTGTCAAATACTGACAGACTAGCTGTATAAGCGAGTAAGGAAGCTAGAAAGTAATGTTTCCCTAATCAGTTAAAGTAGGACTTACCCCACAGGTCTGTTGTAAGGCCCTACTACAGGCTCTTTGGGCTCTAAGCTTTTCTCTTCTCTCCTCGCCTGTACATGAACCAAACTTTTTTTTTTTTAACAGAAGACAGGAGTGCTTCTGAAGTTAGAATTCTTTTTGGCAGACCAATAACATTGTAACTGTCCTCACATAAAGAGTAAAACTAACCTTGTCCCTTGCTTTGACAGGACAAAAAGGAATGAGTTATTTCAGAGCAATCATTTCAAATGAAAAACAGACCAGTCCATGAAGTGTATTCTTGTAAAACACCCCGTTCTGATAGTGAGACCTTCTGGGGAGGTTTGAGGCATTGTCTTCTGGGAGATCATTCTAAGATTTCAAATATCCAAAGTGACTATTATTAGCCCCGGGATCAATGTAAAGCTAGTCTAAACTGCCTTACATAAATGGAACACAAGTCAGTACCACCAGAGGACTGGTTTTGCTTCAAAGCAACAAGGAATAAAATGTAAGCATCCCTATTTCCTCTCCCAGAGGGCAATCAATTACCTCTGAGCCCAGTTATGTCCACCAATAAAAAGCTCACACTTTAATAGTTCATCTAACAACAGCCTAGTGTGACATACTGATTGAAATGTGTTGTCATGCAAGGAAAGGATCACCTTAACTTTTGAGTTAAGTGGGTGTTTTGAATAAAGACACAGGTGGTATAAAGAATGGCCATGATCAATGCATGTTCCAACCACTCATTGCTTTAGCCTGATAATGTGAGGTAGTAGGAGGTATGGATCAATTCAAATGAGCAAATAAGCAAAGTTAAGTAAGTTGTTCTCAAAAATACTATGCTCCAATACGGGAACAGAGAGGTATATAGTTTAATTTGATAGAAGTGCTAAGAGGTAGGCACTGTTTAATTAGGGAGTCATGTTTATGGATCTTCTGGAGAATTAGGTATTTTCCCTGGCACTAGGTCAGTGGCATTTCAAGAAAACAAAGTCAGTCCATTGTTGCCAGGAATAAATACACTAGATAGACGCCATAGAACTTGATGGTTCACTGTCTAGGAAGCTCACAATATGAATAAGAAACAGCCAGCACACATTCAGGGCCCTAAGAAACTACCCTAAGTCTCTGTTGAGTCATCCCTATCCACATTCTTTCTCCTCAATTGTCTTTGGGGCATTTCCAGTACACAGCCTAAGTTGCAATTAGACACAGCTCTCGTAAGCCAGTAAGATGTTGAGATGAATAGCATCTCTTCCCCAAAACTGTCATGTTCAAAAGCAACAAAATGTCCACTTTTCTTTAGAATGGTTGCTTAAGCAAATCAACCATCATCTACGTTAGAGATCAACCAGATGAATCAGCCTACAAACATTCAGTAGCCCAGATCTAATCACTGCCAAGGCACAAAATATTAGACTAACAAAGTAGAAGCTAGCTTTAAGAGATACTCACAAAAAGGCTTGGGAAAAACTGAATTAAGGACTTAAGAACCTGGGGCGGGGTAATGTTGATGGATCAATAGTTTTATCCAGTGTAGAAAAGCCTACACTCCCTGTTTCCTTTCGAAAACAAAGCCACACTAGTCAAACTATAAACAGATCATTTCCTGGAAGATATGCCAGGGTACTTAAAACTTGAAATCAAATATTGGCGGTATGTGTCCAAGATGTCTGCAAACACTCTTCCTTGCCAGCCTTTGCTTTCTCCTAAAGAAAACTATACATAAGAACCCCCATTCACTAGTCTGAAGAGGCAGCAGAGATGATTAAGATAATTTAAATACGACAGTTAAATTTTTACTGGAGATACATAATTAAAGTTAACTGAAAACGTTAATATCTCATATCAGGCTGCTTGAATTATGCTAAAGCCACATCTGGCCAGGGAAAGTCTATGGTCCTTGTCCCTGAGGACTCTCCTGAAAATGAGAAGACTTACAAAAGATCGCCTTGATGAAAAACACGGATTCTCTTGACATCTTTTTTGCCTGCTATGTTAACTAGACTCACAATGTAGTATATTCAAACTGCCATAATTCCTTTAGTTGTGAATTTAAAAAAAGACAGCTTTCATTCAACCAAACATCCACTGCTTTGCTTCTATTGAGAATACTTTTATTATTATAGTTATCATATACAACAGAATTATATTGGGAACATTTACAAATAGGTGGTTATTTAAAACCTGTCACTTGCACACACTGAACCCTCACTCATTTTTGCAGGAGCAAGTCACCAGGAGATATTACAATTATTGCCTTGTGAACAAACAGAGCTTTGATTAGATAACTTCAGTTTCAAGAACTGAAAACTGGAATTGCCTCTCCAAAAGCCCAAACATTTTAAATACCCTGTATAGCATATGTACTTGTGCTTAAACCTAAAAGACGTGTTTAGCTCACCCCATTCCCTTTTAAAAGTTACCAAAATTAAATTTGAACCCCATTAAAAAAATTAAGTTTACCAGTATTTACACATCCCATTAAATTACACATAAATAAATATGTACATTCAACATACTCTTTCTCTTAATACACAGAGCGCCTCCCTGGTAACCATTTTTTTTTTGGCCTATTAAGGCCAAAAAAAAAAAAGAAAAGAAATAAAAGAGAAAGAAAAAAGTTAATAAAATGTTATGTGCCTAGTATTTTCAAGTTTTTTGTTTGTTTTTTTTTAAAACAGACCCAATATAAATATGCAGATAAAGCTTGATACACCTTGAGACAAAAATGTTTTTCAAGACATTTGAGTTTTTAGCACTAATTTAAAATTCTTTATAACACAAAAAACACCTACAATAGACTGACTAAAGTTTTGTAAAACCTGAATTATCTCCTTTGGAAGTGTGTCAAATGCCATCCAGTAATAAGGTCAAACAGATTTTTTTTTCCTTCATAGGGTGAAAGACTTGTATGATCTAAAAAGCTAGATAACCGTTTACATAAACATGGAATGAAGATAGATCTGAACACCATAGTCTAATACTGCAAAAAATGGTTTACTGTTGGCATGGAAAAATCCATGAAAATTTGACTTAAAAAGGAATAATTCTTAATTAATAGCATCCAAAATATTCTACAACCTTGGCTACTAGCACTGGGAATTTTAGAGGTTCAAAAATATTTTTAGCACCACTTTTAGAGCAAGGGGAAGGGGGAAAAGGGATAACAGGTTTGAGGAACAAATACCCAACAAGTACTCAAGTTTGTAGTCTTCTGATAAACTTGTCCACAAAGTTTGGAGATATTGCAGCTTTAGAAACACAAGACTCCAGAATGGAAGGGTGTGTAAATCATGAAGATCCTGAATAAGATGATGTTTAATAAAAGTAACCAATTTTTCTACATTGTCCCCTAGGCAAGAAGACGATCCCATAGTCTGTATTTTGGAGAATAGTTTCTGTCCTTTTGAACTTTTCCCCAGACTGTACTTTCCCCCTCCCCCCCCCTTTTTATTTACGGTGCTTATCCATTTTCTCCATAGTTTTGTTGGACTCAGTGGGGCTTTGGTCGCCAGTGTTCATGTAGGTTTTGTCTGCTATTTTTAATGCCTCATTTAGGTAGTTCTGGACAGATGTCATGGCTGCACATATGGCCGCACTCCCAAAGCCATGCGTTATTAGACTGAAGTGAGTCAGGCAGCCTTGAATGGCAGGATCCAGAACTGGGCTGGGTCTAGCATTTCCAAGAGGAGTCCGGTCCTGAGTGAGAAGATCTGTGAATTCCTTACAGATTTGTCTAAAAGACAAGTAGAGAACAGAAAACTCCATGAATAGGCAATTTCAAGGGACAACAGAAGATAAACACATCAATATACATGTCATCTAAGCTTTTGGGGGGGGGGGCGCGGCACTGTTCTGTGTTCTCAAGCAAACCTGCAAGTTCTCATGGAGAACTAACTACCTGGAGTCTTTGTCAAGCCTCTCATCTCACCTCAAAGCGATTTCATCTTTCAAAGGTTAGTTATTTTCATGGAACCAATGTTTTGGTTGTGATTCGATTTTGTTTTTGCCAGCATGTTCTTCTCTTGCCCTGAATTCCTACTAGTTCTGCGTCATTTACTGTAATTTTAAAATCAATTTAGTGCTAGTTTGGGGGAGAACCTCTTCAGCTGCAGTAACTGATGTGCAATGGATAAGCAGCAACCAAACTGAGGCATCTCATTTAGCCACATGTCACATATACATTAAGCCTCATCATTACAACATCTGAAATCTGTTACCCAGACGGAAGGTGTACCATCTTTCTTTAAACTTGGCAAGCCAAGTCACATGTTAAAAAACACATCAGAGGTAATACAAATGCAAGGATTTTTTTTAAAATTTTTTTTGGGAAGGAGAGCCATGACAAGTCTGTCTCCCAGTTCAAACCATTCTATCCATAATTGCTGAAAGGCAGGGCTTCTTTGAAAAATGTGCCATCTCATTTCTTTTGCTTTTAAATATCAACTCTTTTACCTCAATGTGCTTAAGAAACTCAAAAAAAGTTTGATTGGTTATAGGCAACCTGCCACGATACTCACTTAGCAGCAAGCAGCATGTTCTTTCTGGTACCAATTTCATTCCGTCCTAAATGTGGTCTGGTTAAATAGTCAGCTACTGCTTTAGAAGGAAACTCCGTTTCACAGACATAACCAAAATCTCGGGCCAGATGCACAGCTTCACCTACAACAGTGGAACAATTTTAGTCAAATCCAAGTCCAAAGCAAACCAACTACCAGGTGTTACTACTGCTAGAAAGGAACCAAAAAAAGAGTGCCATCCTGTTCTTATATATTTCCATCCTAACAAATTTGCATCTGGAAAAATGCAAGAATGCCAAATAAATTAATAACCAGCAGTAAAAGCTCAAAGGTTCAGGAAACTAATGAAGCAATCTCTCCTTCACTGTCCTCAATGTTGGCCCATAGGACCCACAATGTTCTATGTACACCAGATATACCCTAAACCCCAATCTATGGGACTTCTCAGCAAAACCTAGTCAATTATAATTTTATTTCATAATAAAAATTTTTACATTATAAAAATAATCATGGAGTACACTCTGGGTTAAGTCACATGACTTTGAACTAAAGTAATTTGTTAAATGCAGCCTTTGAAAGGCAACTGAAGTAGGTAGTAGAGGATTAAGGACCCATCTTAGAAATCAGAAAAAGATGGGTTCAGTTCCACCTTTGATACTATTGATCCACTAGGCATGTCACTTATAATCTCAATGACCCTGAAAACTCTTAAGACAAGTTGCACAGGAGGTAACCGTATTTTAGTACTAAAAGGTAGATGGATTCCTATGCTAACAAGGAAAAAACACCAAGTCTTTATTTAAGGAAAGGTAAAAACATCAGATTTTTTATATATATATAATCCATCCAGCTGGAAAAGAGACAACAGGCATGTCACCTTTTGTCTCCAAGTCTCACTTTAACATGCATTTTTACAAACAAATCTCAAAGTTTTCAAGATGATCTAATTTAAATAAACTCAGTTGAAGACTTTCAAAATTCCCAGTATACCCAACATGTTGCTTCCTCCATTACCAAAGACCTATCTATCCAATTGTATTTATGTATTATTGCCCCCTTATGAAGAAGGGGGGAAATTTTATTGATTGGGGGAGGAAAATAGAATTGCAGAAGATATATAAAGGCTAAGAAAAGCATGTCTCTTCATACAATCAGTATGATCACAAATATCGTACATATTGCTTACAACTAACTATAGCTGTGATCGATCATGCGTGCACACACACACATACACAAATACACCCAAATCCCGACAAAACCTTCAAACTAGACTGAAGCAATTGAATTCACAACCAGTTCTCCCCTGCACTATACAAGAAGTACCAAAGAGGGGCAACCTGAATGATTCTTTATCCCATCAGGCCCAAATGTTCCAGGAGAGTACTGTCCAGAATATCTCATTCCCTAAGTCACACTCCTCACTGACTTCCCCTAAGCCACATGGGGAGACTGAACTATCCCGATGATTGGGCTGCGATTGGAGTGTTTGCTCCATCTTTAATACTACAATCCTCTCAGTGTTCCAGTCCCTTTTCCTCCTGAATACAATATGCTTGAGTTGAGGTTTTTCTTCTTTTTTAAAAGTTGTATTTGTTTGTGTTCTTGGACACTTTCCAGGGGTCTTCCACTGAGAGGCCCAAGGCCTGTTCCCAGCTCTGTATGCCAGAAAACAAGTGCTAAAGGCTCTGAAACACTGGGGGTTGGTTTCCAGATCTTCTGAGGTAGAGGGGTCATGTTGAAAAAGGAACTTTAGGACTCCCAGGCTAATAGCTTTGCAATTTTGAAAATGCTATATAAATGCTGCTAGATATCTCCCTCATATCATTTTAAGATTTCTTTCTTCCCCCTTCTCTATACCTTTGAATTCTCCCCCCACCTTGATGACTATACAGAATCTGCAATACTCTCTAAGGAATAAACAAAAAGATAACCTCAAAATGACTCTTTTTCTCTGACTGCCTCCACCATCACAAATAAGTACTTAGTTCAACATGTGTGAGAAAGAATGGAAAATGCTAAGTCATTCAAGTTTCAATGGCCAGCCAGGCAAACATTACTTTTTAAATAATCACTATAGGTAAGACACCAATATCTGGTCAAAGCAATTAGAAAACAGCCTATTTTAGACATTCATTACACTGCTTTAGGAAGATTACCAACTAGTCACTTTGTACACCTTACAATTTAGCAGTTTAAAAACACACACACACACACCCCATTTCCCAAAGATGCTTCTATTTTCCCCCCACCCAACTCTTGCAACTATGGAGGGACTTATTGGGGGTCTGAGGAATAAAATCAGTAATCCAACATACTGACCTTCTACCAAGGAAGTTAATAATGTCACATTAGCAGCTTTTCTTCTTCCAGCTGGAAGATTTAAACCGATTTTATCCAACTTTTCTCGCAAAGATCGCCCCCCATTCTTGGATTTGGCTCTATGAATGAAAAATGTGACCATCATTGAAGCATCGAGTAACAAAAATAAAATGACAAATTATCGAATTTCATTTAATGCATAGACTACTGTAAACATCAATTTGGGTCTGCTTTCAAATGACCTCTTTTCTGTAACTGTGTCACTTCCATACATTACAAAACCAAAATTTAGCAGAAACCAACATATGTGTTCTTAAAGCTAGCAGTTATGGAACACAAAATCAAGAGAAAACACCTGAATTTGACAATGAAGAAAAAGCTGATGGGACTTAACTATTTAGACAATTGCTGTGAGCATACCTTAGGGATAGCATGGGAGTCAGGTTTTAACTAAATAATAATTTGCTTTTTGATGCATTTTAGCACTTTCTTCTACATTTAACACTTTTCAAAAGGGAAATGTATGTTTAAAACTCTCTGGGTCTATTAGAATTCAGTGTTAGATTCAAAGTTACATAAATGTTAAAAATACTCTCCCAGATCTTTTATAAAAAAAAACAACACCCTACCACAACTGGGTGTCCAGGATGAATACTACCCAAAGATGGTTTCCCCTCACCTTCTCAGCACACCACCCAATAGGGAGGCATTTAAGCATTCAGGAGAGGAAAGTCTTCGCTGGACCTCAGCTACAGTTACTTTATATTTGGACGTGGAGCTGAGAAGAGAAAGTCTTCCAGGAACAGAGCAAAATACTTCATTATGATTAACCACTGCTCCTAGCATCCCATCCTTCTGACAGGGGAGACCCAAAGAGTTGCTTTTGGTCATTGAAATAGGACCTGTTAAGAGCAAACAACAATTATCAAAACAGTTTCAGATTGTGTCTTCATGCCTAGTGCCTGGAACATAGTAGGTACTTAATAAATGCTAGAGATAACAGATAATTGTGATTCTACAACCTTCATTTTATAAGTCACTATTGAGTTACTAAACAAAATGTGTGTTGGGGTAGGAGTTGAGGGGGAAGCTCTGGCCAAGGAAGCCAAGGTGTCTCAATTTCTAATACTGGTTCTACTACCAACGTGCTGGGTGACCTTTGTCAACCAGATTATTTTCACCATTCTGGACCCTAATTTTATCTCCAGCACTTAAGTGTTCCTGTCTGAGGCACATAGTAATAGCAGGTACTTAATAAATGCATTTATCAATAAAATGCAAAAGTTATAACAAGATGACTTAGAAAATTTCCATTTAGGGATTGAGTACTACTCTTCGAATCTAAATAAATGCCAGTGAGCATAGCAGACAAATTCAAATTGGAGATAGCTGTCAAGAAATCTCTAGCAATATCCTAGGATCTGGTAGCCACCTTGATTATCAGCATACCAAATCATTTTCCTTTTAACTGCTTGTTAGTTCTATTCAAATCAGGGTAATTTCCATATGCAACACTCTTCAAATTAGTTCCTAAAAGTATTGTGTATAAGATGCAAAGCTAGGTACTAAAAGAAATACAAATTTTTATCTGCCACAAAAACTACCAACTTATAAGACTTTTACCCAGGAGGTTTAATTTTTTTAACATACCAGCGGATAAGTTAATTTATTTCCACTTGCAAGTATAAATAAAAGTCTTAGTCAAACTGAATTGAAAGTGACCTTGCTATTCTTAAATGGTAATAACTCATGTGTATTCAAATTAACCAGCAACATTTTAGCATCTGGCCAGAGTCTTAATGTAAGTTTCTGATGCAGAGACAATAGAATTGTGTGTAACTCGCTGTCTCTCCTCTATAGGTTAGCCAGACTACTACTAGTAGCACTGAGGCAGAGCTTAGCAATAGCCAGCCAGGCAATCTCCGCCACGTTATTGTACAAACCACCCACAGCCAATTTTCTTAAGTAGTGTGTTCCACCAAAATTTCTCTCTCTAGTTCCTTCCAGATGCAGCATTTGCTAGAGGAGGAAAAAAAGCAACCCCCACTACTACATACTGGGTATAAAACACTTGTTCAAGTAGGAAAATAATAACTGAAATTTCACCTAAACTTACAGGGCATCTTCCAAAACCTGCCTTCCTCCACTACAATCTGTTCACTTCTTGGGGCTTCTGCACTTACTAAATACATTGGTCTGTTTCCAACAAAACACCTCTGAATGCCTGAGCCAATAGATGTAGATGCCATTAAGACTCAGACTTTTTCACCCTCCCTAAGTCTGAAGGGATAAGGCTAAGAGAAAGGTAGGTAAGGCTGGTCACAATTAACGCACCTTTCCTGATGACTGTCTGATCATGCAACAGCAAATGTTGGTCTTCCACATTCTAGGGGAAAGAGGAGACAGTTTCTGTTTAGAAAAGTAAACAGAACCAAGCTGAGGGACTTTAGAAAGGACAGTAGTGGCAATCCTGGCTCGGCCTAAAAAATCCAAACCTGCTCCCCGAGGTTCCCTCTTAGCACCTGTCCCAGGACTACTCTCACCTGGACATCTTCCATTTGATGGGCCATGTCGTGTAAGCCCAGGTTTTCCACCAGAGCTGCATCTAGCCCGTGGCTATGGGGCTGCAGGAGCAGCTCAGAACGTCTGTAGGTCTCCCTCCTTGTCCCTGGGCCACCGGCGTCCAGCCCCGGGAGGTGGGGGACAAGGCCAGGCCTCGTGTGGTGGCTCAAGCCAGCTGGCTCCTGGTTTTGCCGGCTGGACCAGGCCTGTTGCTGGCTGGCGGCCGGCGCAGGCTGGTGCAGGGGGTTGATGGAAAACGGGTCTCCCAGGTGGGAGTACGGGTCAGCAGACTGAGAATAGGGTAAGGGTTGGTAGGGCGGTGGGAAGTAAGGCGGCTGGAAGTCGGATGCCCCTGAATGTGAAAGCGGTGGGGCTGCGGGACTGTAGAGGTGCTGGCTGACTGCTGGGAGGTGGGGGAGGCGGGGGTTCCCATTACTGTTCCCATCGTGCCTATCCTAGAAGAAAATTGAGAGAGAATGGAGGGTTAAGAAGGAAAACCCCGCTTCTGCGAAAACCCAGTTAGCCCGATCCTTCTCCAACTCTATACTCTCCCTCCGATTCCAGTTCCACCTCTTGCTTCCCCACCCCCTCCTCTTTCTTGTCCCTGATTAGAGTCGTAGTAATCTAGAGACCCCACCCCATTCACAAGGCAATCAATACGAAGTCGCAGGGAGCTCAGATCCTGGGGAGCCAATAAATTCCCTTTAAAAAAAAGGGGGGGATATGCAGAGGCTGCCCAAGGAAAAGACCACGGAGCTGGAGCATGGAGAGAGAGGACAGGCAATAGGGGAATAGAGTAACAACAGTAAGAACCTCTCTCAATTGCTGGTTAACTCTCCCCTAACTTGCGGCGCGTGACTTCTCTGCCCGGCATTGAACTCACTCCTTACACGGGAGGGAGACGAAGTCGTTTTGATCCGCAGCTACAAATTAAATGAGAAGTCCCCCCAAAAGAACCCGAAACACCTCTTTCCTAGGCCCGCTGAAGGTTCCAAAGGTGCAAGACCCACCGCGCGGTTCTCCATGTCCTTGCTCCACCGCATGCAAGCCCAGATCGCAAGTTAAGCAGGCAGCGCGTGGTAGCAGGCGGCGACACGCAGGAAGGCGGGGAAGGCGCTTTTTCCTCCCCCCAGGACACCTTCTCGCGGTGACGAATTGGGTGGAGGGACATTTGGGTGGGAGAAAGGGTCGCGGCTGATCCAACAAAAACCCGCCAGATCGCGCAGATGCCGCCGGGCTGGAGGAGGTGACAGCCGCCACCGTAGCATTGTGCTTAGGAAGAGATATTTAGGGTCAAGGTAGAAAAAGAATGCAACGCAATTGAGGCGGGTTTGCAGAAGAAAAAGCCAAGAAAAAAACCCCTTGGTTCAGGGACAGAAATTAGAGATTTAATTTTTTTATTTTCCTGGAGTACTTAAACTAGCCCATGGGTAAAGGCCCAGGCTCAGCTACACGTGAACTTTTCGCGCTTCCATACTTGGACCAGCGAGTCTTATCCCGAAGGCCAGACAAGTAAACAGTTGGGACTCGGGAGCATCTGGGGATGGCGCAGCCTCCAGCCGTCTCAAGAAGCTGTTTTCACAGACGGCGGGAGGAAGAGCAAGCACTGAGTTTTTCAGCCGGGGGTTTGGGGGTAGGGACTGCGGCACTCCATCCCTGATTCAGATGGTCACTATCCACCCCCGGTATTCCCAGGCCGAACCGTAGCTGTTGCATTGGATTGTCCTGATGACCCTATCCCTGATACCTTTGGGGGTACCAGTGGTCATAGCAGGAGGCTGGAAAGGAGGCATCCTCCCCCTAGCGGAGGGAAACGTCCTGCAGAAGACTGAGTAAGTCCAGTTACTCTGTCCCAATTTGCTGTCCCGGATCCCCGCTGCCCGTCCCACAGTACTAACAAGACGTTCGGTCCGGTTTAGGCTTCTCCCAGAAGCTCAACGCAGCGCAGACCTCGCCTACCTCTGTGCGTCGTCTTCCTCTTCCCGCTCGCCGGCTCCCTCCCTCTCCCTCCCACTCTGCGAAGCTCCTAGTTCAACCTGTCAAACAGGCTTTTTCACTCTAGGACGCTTACGGCCTCATCTGTCCTCCCCGCCCCCCCAACCCCTTAAAGCTTAATTTTTTATGTTTTCCTGAATTCTGGTTTAAATATTGGCGAGGGCCCCTTCTAAGTGACAGTAAGGGAATTGGAGGTGTTAGCGATCCCTCTTTCTTTGATTATTTAATTTCTTCTAGCATGACTCCCTACTTATACAAGCTACAGTTGGAGATAGCCATGAAAAAAAAAAAGGTTCCCCCCCCCCGCCTCCACCCTCATGTAAACTTAAGAGAATTTTCACTGTCACTTTCTTCACTGATCCTTGGGTGGTGGTGGGTTAAAAGCAGAATGCCCAGGAACGCGTTGAGGCATACGGATACAAAGCACGAGCGCTTGGACTTTTAAGTGTGGAAGTGGCCCATTAGTTGCAATTAGTTCACCATCCCCTCGAGTTCATTTACCCTTAGAAGCCCTTAATTTTCTCCCCCTATTCCTACCTTCCAAGTAGCCCATTCTCATACTCCTGGCGCGCGGGGCTCGAACTGCGGGAGCCTCGTTTCCCTAACTTAAAATCCGCCCGCGGACGCCGGATTCCCCCATCCCCGCCCTGACTGCGCCTTTCTCACCTCGCAGTCCTCTTCGTACTTGACATTGTCGGCTAATTTCCACAACATGGCGTCCGGAGTACCCCAAAATAATCGCCAAGATCCAGGATCCCCCCACCCCCCAGGTGGTAAATCCAAAGTTGGGGTCACGGTCACTGGTTCCCCGCCCCCCAGACTGACTGGGCTGGGCTCTCCGTCCCCTTCAGATGGATTGCATGGAAAGCTGCTTCGGGGAGGTACCGATTTTTCTCTTTCTCTCTCACTCTGGAATGGTCAAGGATCTCTGCCTGTTCCAGCACTTCCCCCGCACCCAGCCAGCCTTAATGGAAGGAAATTAACATAACTCCTCCCCCGGGACTGCACTGGAGGCCCAACTTTCTGAAGACACTTAGCCTAACCAGCCAGTCACAGGGGCCCGACCGGGCGGGCCTCACCCAGAACTCCTCCCTCATTCTCTGTTCTCCAGCGGTGTGCGCTTCGGCCTGGCGTCCTGCCAAGACCCACGCACAGAACGGAGATAGAAGGGTGAAAAAGGGGTGTAAAGAGCGAAGCCAGCGCTGCGGAGTGCGCAAACAGCACTACGAGGGGAAAGACAAACGCTGAAATGAGCCTTTCTTAGCACTCACGGCTCCTACCCAAGCGTGCTTTATTGATTTTTGGTTTTTGTGAAGAAACTCGGGAGTAAAAGCGGGGTAGCTGGTTAAAGAGAGTGAAGTGGCCGAAAAACACAGCCCGAGAGAGGAGCATAGTTAGTGGACTGGTGGTTACTACAGTTAGGCAGCCCGGCCGTTTTGAAGGGAGCCAACCTTGCCTGATAACGGTAGGCAGATGCTCTAATGCATCATATCACCGACAGCGTCTAATAGCAATTCACGTTTACATAACGTTTTAAGATATTTCTTTCATTTCTAATGCAAGGAGTGCCACATTACTTTGTCTAGTCCAGGCTTCGAAAGAAGTCCCAGAACCGTTGGTACACGTTAGCTTTAGTTTTCATGGCCCCCTGCTCCCTTCCGTGCTTTGTATGGGAGAGATTCCGTACAAGGGACCTGCTTCCTACCCCTTCAAGGGAACGGCAAAAAAGAAGTTTGAATAATCGATTGAAATGTGGCCCCAAAAAGGAAGAAAGAAGGGAAAGAATACTAAAGGGAGAGAGGAAGTGGGAAGCCTACTAGCAAATGTCAAGTAAGCCAAGTTTCCTTATCTTCCGCTTAGAGGGGGTAGACAGTTTTGGGGAAGAGGAATATATTAATTAAAATAAGCATTCTAATCGAAATTATTGCAAACGAGGGAGTCGAATAGCAAAATAGGCAATACTGCGCGTCTGAGTTATTGATTTTGCATGCAATAGGAGAGTTTGAGGTATGTTCTAGGAGATTTTTCAGAGCTATTAAATACGTCAAAATGAGAACGGTTCAGAACCATATCGAATATTTGAAGCCATTTTTTAAAATAAAAGGCTAGAATTGGGGATATAATTGTACCGATTCTGTCTATAAACACAACTACAAATGTAACTCTTATTAGATCACTTCTATTTTCATTTAATCATATTCTTTCCTACCAGAAACTAAACTTTTAAAAAAGTTGTTCTGTAATTTTTCCTTTCAAAGCATTTGAAAGGGACAAGATAACTGGCCTTTCTCCGACAAAAGTCCTTTCAAATGCTGGATTCCTGCGCCGGACAAGATCAATTCGAATTCACAGGCTTAGAACAAAATGTGCAACGGGTAAGAATCTCAGGGAGATTAAAATCTAGAAATGGCAATTCCTTCTCCCAACACAGGCACCCTAAAAATACACACTGGGGCCCTTAGTGGGAAATACCTTCCAAAATGTGGCGTGGGAGCAGGGAGCAGCAGAGGAATAACAGTAGAAGGCCTCAAACCGATTGAGAGCTGGTTCTGATGGAAGATGGGCGCCCCCGCTCCTTTCCAGGCTCGCTGACCACCCTACTCAATGCAGTTACTCCGCCTCCACAAACACCCCCCGCCCCCGCCCCATTCCCAAGTAGGGGCTGGAAAGGCAGGATTGTTCAGAGGCCCTCCTCTCCACCATAGAAATTAACTCCACTACAAAGGTATCTAAGAACCCCTACCCCTGAATCCCACCTAACTTTTCCAATTTTTGGTACAGTCTGTTACAGAGTCGGTCGTTTTCCCATACTACATAATTTTTATCTTAAAAACAAATGTCTTTCCCCCACCGCAAATACACAGAATTCCAGAAACCTATTAGTAGTAAATGGGTGGTGGTGGTGAAGGGGACAAGAGGTTAGGAACCGACTTGTGTTCCGCAGGGAGACACTGAGGATTCAATTTTTTTTTTACATTTCTCTTTGTGTCCCCCCAATTGCCTGGAAACTAAACAAATTTTTTCAAAGGGAGCCAAAGGTATCAAAGGAGATGGTTCCTACAGAAAATTCTGGTCCTAGTAAGCACAGGTTTCACTGATGTCTCTTTAAAAATCCCTTTAGGCTGGGAGAAAGGAAGATAAAGAAACTGGTTTGGGGGTCTAAGGAAGAGAAACATTCTGTGAGGTATTTGAGGAGACACGCTGCGCTATGTTCCTTCCCCTTTTAAGACAACTCTATTGAAAAAAATAAAACAAGCGTGGATTGTGTTCTTGGTACTGGGAGAGGGGCAGATTTTAAGTAACAGGTCACTGCCCTAAATGCTTAGACAAGTAATTGCTCTGGTGCTCTGTACTTAGCTCGGGAAGCAGCTAGTTGAGTAGCAAGATGTCTACACACTCCCTCACCCACATCTATACCCTCCCCCCCCCGAAAAATGCCTTAATCCACCTTTCCCAATCCCAGGCACTTCATGTCCATCACCTCTCATTCCAAGTCGTATACTGATTAGACCAGGGATGGACTAGCACAGTGCCCAGTACACAGTGGATACTAACTAAATAAATGCTTTTTGAATCGAAAGAGTTTCTAATAACTCCCAAGGAAGGGATCCGCTGTCTTTGCTTTCCTTTCCTCCTTAATAAACAGGGAGAAATTGGTTAGTATTTGATGCCTTGATACCTAATATTTGCCTGGAAAAACCTAACTTTTGCGATTTATACTTTCCTACAAATCTGAAAAAAAAAAGTGTCTCCGTGCCAAGTTTACAGCAAAGCTTGGAATGATGCAGTGCTGGCCAACGCTTCGTCCCTCAGCCACAGACAGCTTCTCCCTGGCGGCAGGAGCCTTTCAAGAGTCCTATACTTTCTGCAATTTATCAGCCCTAAAAACCTTCTTTGCCTTAAAAGTACGAAATGGCGCTTCTCCGATCTACGGACCTTTTCTTTGGAGAAGCCCTCGGATTCACTTCCTCAAAATAAAATCCGGAAAGGAGGATCGGGCTAGGTCGGCTGAGGATGAAGTCCTGGGAGCGCTCGCCTCTTTTATCCGGGGCACAATCCTCGCCTCGCGGTCTTCGCACCCAAGGCGGGCACGAACCACAGAAAGATTGAATCCCGCTTCTCCCTGCCGGGTGCGAGGCTTCGGCTGGGGCCCCACTGGGGGAATCGGGCTGCCCCACGAAGAGTCAAGGCAACAGCCACACCCCTGCGTTTGGGCAGAGTTTCTTTCCCATTTAACCTGATTCCTGACCCACACACAAAACAACCCGAACACAGAATCACGGGCTCCTTCCAGTCGCAAGAAGTCTGCCCTCTCACCACCATCCGTGCAGGTGGAGGAGTCTGGAAGAAAAGGTCCAAGAAGCAGGTGGGGGACAAAAAACAGTAAAGTGCTCGAGGGAAAACTTCCTTCAAACAGGTGTGCGCTCCAGCCCCAGCCCGCTGAGCCCCGAGGGGGCGAACGGGCTGAGGCCCCAAAGCGCCTACCCTGCGGCGGCACAGCCGGACCTACTGACTCCTGGGCGACGGCCTTTCCCCACCAGGCAGTTGGCTGATGGCTGCCCAAAAGCGCACCAAACTGCGAGCCGCTCTCCTTGTCTTTTTTGGCCGTCCCTTACCTCACATAGACCCCAGGGGTGGAAAGAGCTGGCCCCAGGCACCCACCACCTTCACCTAGTCAGCCACAGATTCTTGGCAGGCTAGGTGTGCATAGTTTAGGGACAGAAAGTTTGGCACAGAGACATTCAAGACAACCTAGGTTGGAAGACTCCAGGCCCACCCTTGTTCCTCAGTCCCCCCGGGAAAGTCAGCCTAGACTGGTCTACACTGTGGATCGTTTTGCTTGGTAATCTACTCTTCTCCTTCCCAATCTTTTCCCGGGCCAGTAAGGGGGAAACCCGGGGCCGCTGCCCCAGCCTAGGCCCTCCGGCGCTTGAGCGTTCGGCGCCGCTCCCTGTGAGCAGTTAAAGACACATACTTGCCAATCGAGTCTCCCCAGCAGAGCCATTCAGCCTCCCAGTGGGGAGTCGAACTCCTGCAGCAGCTGCCGCTTTAACTGGTCGACCTGCCACTGCCAGAACCCCACACCTGGGAGCCCAGGGCCGCCCGCCAGGTGCGCATGCGTGCATAGAGCTCTTTTCCCCACCCCCAACCGCTATCTCCCACCATCCCTAAGAATGACAACACGCACACCCAACCACACCCAACCCACTGACCCACCTGCACCTATCTGGGTTAAATTTTAAGATACTCAACTCAGGTTCACATTTATATCTACGGGGTGTACACAGACACCTCCTTCTGTGCATTCGGGCCTGTCCACATGCACAAGTATTGAAGTACAAACGTTTACTTGAAAATATAGACCCACTAAATCACAAGAAACCTACATGCACAACCATGTTTACTCAGTATGCAATTGCATAATTTGGGGGCAGCTGGGTGATGCAGTCGATAGAGTGCTGAACCTGGAGTCAGGAAGACCTGTGTTGGAATCCGACCTCAGATACATATTAGCTGTGTGACCCTGGGCAAGTCGCTCAACCCTGTTTGCCTCAGTTCCTCATCTGTAAAATGAGTAGGAGAAGGAAATGGCAAACCACTCCACTATCTTTACCAAGAAAGCCCCCAAATGGAGTCACAGAGAGTCAGACACGACTGTAACTACTGAACAGGAACAATTACGTGATTAGATGTGTGTTTATATAGTGCGTAATCTACTGGAGTCTACACAGTTGGAAGTCAGGAGATGGTCAGACACAAGCTTAGTGATCAGAGTTAAGGTCCTTTATCTCTTTAGTAGTCAAGTTTCTTCATCCCTGAAATGAGAATACAGTAATAAGTCTTGCATTATCTACTTTTTAGTGTTTTGGAGAAAGCTATTTGTAAACTGTAAGATGCTTATTGAAATGAGTACCACTGCACAATTATCTTAAGTCTGTATGTTGTCA